TAATGATTAAGAATCCAATTTAATCCATCTCTTTTAAGTATTTGTAACTATAATGCCCAAGTGATCTGGATAGTTCAAAAGATAACTCTTGGAACCTAAATCAATGCTCACCGTTGATGCCTCTTCAAATCCATATCAAATCTGGACAGCATCTCTGATGAGGTGGGCCAGGAAGGCGCCTTCGCCAAGTGACGAAGGCCAAGCCCAGCGCCTGGCAATGTTCAGACTCTATTCTGAAAAATTCAAGTCTTGGTTGCAACAAGGATGGACATATTCTGTTTGCATCTGTTTGCTTCAATGCGCTTGGATGAAGCTGAAATAGCATCCCAATGGATCCACCATTTCCATGGCCGCCATTTTGGCAGATTCAATTCCCATCTGGTCTGAAACTCTCATGTTTTCCAAGTTGTCAGCGGCTCATGTCCCAGGCGTCGCCCACAGCACCACCGAGGCTTTGGCCAACATGGACAGTTACAGCCCAAAGCATGTTGAACGATGGAGCCAGCCATCCCAAGTATGGATGGAAGATGGAAAATATGAGTCAAACCACTAACCAGTTAACAATTACAGCGTTTTTTCGCCCTACTCAAATAAAGAAAAATACCCCTGCAATTTAAAGGGTGGTTAGCCACCTCAAAAAACGAGATAAAACTATAAGACTCGAGTGATCTGTTCCCATACGTTTGGGACTGGATCGAACAGCCGAACAAGTCGATCTTTGTGGCCTCTACACAGGCCGGTGCCTCCATGAACGCATCTGAATTTCCTCCTGGTGGCGTGAAACTGCTGGGGGGGTCGCGCAGAGTTTTTGATTTCCGCCTCGGGAGACTTGTTCGCTTAAGGAAAAATGGCGATCGTTTCTTGTCGTGAAAATATCAAAACTAAAATAGCCGTGTCCTATCGGGTACGCTGGTAACATGTACAAACTGCCCTAAGCAAAATATTTTTAATGTTCTATAGTCACTGGCCCTGAAAAATTGCCCAAAAGAATAGTTTTGGGAACCTATCGATTATGGGTCCTAAAAGGTGGTCCAAAATAGGTTCCATATCTCCAGGCTGAGGCTGCATTTTGGAATGATTTTGCAGGGTCCGGATATACAGCCAGAGCCAAGTGAAAAAGTCAGAAGCCCTGAAAATGATTTTGAATATGTGTCGGACAGTTTATTCTTCATCCCAGAAAACAAGGCACGAGCTCATTCGAGGGGCCTTTGTTTCACAAGGCAGGCGAGCATTTTGCATGCAGAATGTCTCTGTCAAAAGGGTTTTCAAAGTTCAGAGCGTCTTTTCCAAAACTTGGACGAACGAAACAAGGTGTTGACATTTAGAACATATGCCATCATCGATTTCAGGGGCAATATGTCAAACAAAAAGGATTCAATGTTGACTATCTTTGACAGAAAAGGCATCCAAAGGCATCTATGTGGGGAGCATCAGAAAAAGGTTTCGCATTAAGAACAGCTGTCACAAAAGGCATCCATTTGGGGGCATGTTGCTTTAAAAGAACTGGCTTCACATTAAGAACATCTTTCATAAAGGCATCCATTTGGGGGGCATTTTGCTTTAAAAGAACTGGCTTCACATTGAGAACATCTTTCATAAAGGCATCCATTTGGGGGGAATTTTGCTTTAAAAGAACTGGCTTCACATTGACAACATCTTTCATAAAGGCATCCAATTGGGAGGCATTTTGCTTTAAAAGAACTGGCTTCACATTGAGAACATCTTTCATAAAGGCATCCATTTGGGGGGAATTTTGCTTTAAAAGAACTGGCTTCACATTGACAACATCTTTCATAAAGGCATCCAATTGGGAGGCATTTTGCTTTAAAAGAACTGGCTTCACATTAAGAACATCTTTCATAAAGGCATCCATTTGGGGGGCATTTTGCTTTAAAAGAACTGGCTTCACATTGACAACATCTTTCATAAAGGCATCCAATTGGGAGGCATTTTGCTTTAAAAGAACTGGCTTCACATTAAGAACATCTTTCATAAAGGCATCCATTTGGGGGCATTTTGCTTTAAAAGAACTGGCTTCACATTGACAACATCTTTCATAAAGGCATCCAATTAGGAGGCATTTTGCTTTAAAAGAACTGGCTTCACATGAAGAACATCTTTCATAAAGGCATCCATTTTGGGTGCATTTTGCTTTAAAAGAACTGGCTTCACATTGACAACATCTTTCATAAAGGCATCCAATTGGGAGGCATTTTGCTTTAAAAGAACTGGCTTCACATTAAGAACATCTTTCATAAAGGCATCCATTTGGGGGGCATTTTGCTTTAAAAGAACTGGCTTCACATTGACAACATCTTTCATAAAGGCATCCAATTGGGAGGCATTTTGCTTTAAAAGAACTGGCTTCACATTAAGAACATCTTTCATAAAGGCATCCATTTGGGGGGCATTTTGCTTTAAAAGAACTGGCTTCACATTGACAACATCTTTCATAAAGGCATCCAATTGGGAGGCATTTTGCTTTAAAAGAACTGGCTTCACATTAAGAACATCTTTCATAAAGGCATCCATTTGGGGGGCATTTTGCATTAAAAGAACTGGCTTCACATTGAGAACATCTTTCATAAAGGCATCCATTTGGGGGGCATTTTGCTTTAAAAGAACTGGCTTCACATTAAGAACATCTTTCATAAAGGCATCCATTTGGGGAACATTTTGCTTTAAAAGAACTGGCTTCACATTGAGAACATCTTTCACTTGAGAGCAGGCGGAGGCGGACGAAAGGTAGGAGTGGTGTCAAAATGCTGCGCCCCTAAGATGATACACCAAAAACGTTTTTGCGCAGTCTAAGATGATTTTATCCAGAGCATGACCGCATGATACGGTGTCTTGTGCAGCGTGAAATGATGCAGGAAAAGGGGTTTATTTAAAACCCCTTTTTAAGACCCCCTTGCAGCAACTGTTATTGAGGCTGAAGCAAACCAATTATGCTGGACTACAGGGACATCTCCCTCATGAAGAGTGTGCCTCTACTTTGGCGGACCGTGACCGCGTCACCCGTGGGAATTGAACCCATGACCATTTTAGAGGGGGGGCGCCCTTATAATTGATATCTAATACATAACGTCGAGAATTCTACGTTTTCCACGGGCTGGCCCCCCAATACCGCCTATGATTGTGCTGAAGCACGGAGAACTCAGGTAGCTGACGCTACCTTTCGTGATAAAGGCATCCATTTGGGGGGCATGTTGCTTTAAAAGAACTGGCTTCACATTGACAACATCTTCATAAAGGCATCCATTTGGGGAACATATTGCTTTAAAAGAACTGGCTTCACATTGAGAACATCTTTCATAAAGGCATCCATTTGGGTGACATTTTGCTTTAAAAGAACTGGCTTCACATTGAGAACATCTTTCATAAAGGCATCCATTTGGGGGGAATTTTGCTTTAAAAGAACTGGCTTCACATTGACAACATCTTTCATAAAGGCATCCATTTGGGGGTCATTTTGCTTTAAAAGAACTGGCTTCACATTGAGAACATCTTTCATAAAGGCTTCCATGTGGGTGGCATTTTGCTTTAAAAGAACTGGCTTCACATTAAGAACATCTTTCATAAAGGCATCCATTTGGGGGGCATTTTTTTTTTAAGAACTGGTTTCACGTTGAGAACATCTTTCATAAAGGCATCCATTTGGGGGGCATTTTGCTTTAAAAGAACTGGCTTCACATTGGCAACATCTTTCATAAAGGCATCCATTTGGGGAACATTTTGCTTTAAAAGAACTGGCTTCACATTAAGAACATCTTTCAAGGCAGCATCCATTTTGGGGCCGCTGGTTTTCCGCACAACAAGTGTTTGAATGGTGGGGATTTCTTCACAAAAGGCATCCATTTGGGGGGCCATTAAATATTCACAAAATGGGCCACCCTACTGCAATTACATGCAAGATCATCACTAATTTGGATCTGCACTTCGCATGCGAGGCAACTAGAACTAGACTTTTTTTTCAGAATGAAATCCTTCACAGCCTGCTTGATGGAAGAGAAATCATCCTCATGATCCAAGTCAACTGCAAGTCCTTCCGATGGTGGCCACATTGGTGCCAAAGCCAGACCAAGTTTCAGAAACTCTTTTGGTTTTGACTTATGTTTCAAGACTGAGAAGTGCTTGGCATGTGTGTAACGCCTATCTTCCAGGGCCATCCCACTGCATGCTCCTGCCACAGGCACGGTGCCCCTTTTGCGCCGCACATCAGACGCCCCGCGGCACTGCCGGGCCAGTGGATGAAATGGATTCTCATGCACAAAACTGATGCACGTATGGACTAGTTGTAAATCCTGACCAAATATTCATGACCGGTTGAAGCATAGCTGCCTGGGAGCATGTTGGGTGTAATTTGGGCTCCACAAGGATTTCCTGACCAGTCCCAAGTGTTTGGGGGCCTTGGCAAGCAAATGCAAGAAACAAATAGAAACAACTGTTTTTTATTTGAACAGATTCGACCAAGTTCACAAAGGAATGCCTCGCCATCGTGGAAGAGGCCCCCCGGAATCTCTTGATGCCCCAAGTTTGGATTTCTCAGAATTCGCTTCGCGCGTAACTAGCCTCTTCCAAATTGAGAAGGAAACAAACCAGGTTTGAAGTCGGTGTCGGTGGAGAACTCCCCCCTTTCACCCGCTTCCATTCCAATGGTGGGCTATGCAGTTGACTGGTGTCTTTCGAGGTCACCCGGACATGGCCAAAAAACAGTTGAGAGATGTCCCGAAATTCATTGGGAACCCATTTCCGGGCCCATTCTGTTTGACATGGATAGAGTAAGTGGTTGGCCAAAATAACGACCAGGCACTCACTACCTCACTGGCTTGACGAGATCAGTTGCTGGCAAAAGCTTGAACACCAAAGTCGAACGGTTGACGCATGACCAGAAGCAGGCCAAGTTGCAATAAAGAAACGATAAATCTGGGCAACACTATTCTGATTGGAAGCCCTGACCTTCAAGTGCTCTGTGCTGGGGTCAAATCGACACACGCTGTTTTCACACTTGGCACTTGGCAATTCAAAGCACTGATTTCGGGTTCTAACCTTCTATGGATCTCAGTGAAACGGAAGATATTGATACATGTTGATACAAATATATGATGATGGCTGACGGCTCCATGTGCAGGGTCAGGGGCTGAAAGGTGCCGATCTGCCTGCAAGTCTCCGAAATCAGATCCAAAACGAATCAAACACAAATCCCACGGGCAAACCAATGCAGTTTGTTGGACCGCTGTTACAGTAGCATTGTGGGGGATCTAAACCCAAATTGCAACAAGTCTGGCAGAAACTCAAACGTAGAATTTTCTATCGGTCCAGCATCTGCTGAACAAAAACTAACTTGCAGAACTTTGAGAAATTCAAACGGGCCACCACATGCTGCCTCAGAAACAAAATCCTTGGCAATAGGACAAGGCCAGTTTCCTATCAAAAGAATCTACAGAATCTAAAGTCTTTGGTGGGTTTCTCAACTGGTCCTTTTTAAAGAATGCAACGCAATGAGACATGTGACCCGTGAGTGTCTTCACAACAAATTTTGGCTTTCCCATGGCCTTCAAACGACTGGACCGTGCTCTTGTTGGAATCGCTCCAGGTTGTTGCGACTCGCTCGGACCTCTTCGGCATCCGGCCCATGCAGCTCCTGCAGAGGCGGCTAAGGTTTTGACAGCGGCACCGAGTTAGTTGAAAACTTTGCGGGTCTCTCAGGGTGATCTCGGGGTGGGGAACGCCTGCGTTGGCCAACGGGCTCAATGAAAATCTTTCATGTTCACCCCACAGATAGAGCTGACAGCCTGAAATTGTAACACCGAACATGGCACACAAAAACAAAAAGACAGGAAACGTATCAAATCCAAACATGTTCTTTTTCTTTGTGAAATGAATCTTATCAAAATAAATATTGTTAATGGAAGATGTCATATCCGGACTCCAAAATCCACAAGCAGCAACTACCAGCTGGACTAGTGATGTCTGGACCAAAGGCCACCAAGTGGCTATCGATGGCTATCGACTGTTCCCCTGTGACCCTTGCAGAGGCCTCCACGCCACGCAAATGTTGGAGATAAAGGTGTGTCGCAGAAGCAAGAGATGCAGGACGCAACGATTTTCTTCCGATGGTGGTGTGACTGCAGGGCGAATCGGTGTTAGACCAAAATGGCTTCAGATGACAACTCAAACATCGCAATGCTTCTGGTAGATGTCTGACTGCCAATCAATGTTCACATGACTGCAAAACGTGGAGGTTTCTTCTGACAGCACCCCTAAATTTCTGTTGAGTTGACATCTGGTCAGCAGGAAAAAACCGATCTGCCGGAACTCAGCTGAGGCCCGTTTGGACCTGTTTCTACTTGCCGGGTCATTCTTACGCCTCGCCAGCTCGTCTTCTTCATCCCAAAGCGCTAGAGTGGAAGTTTTGAAAAGATCTTCTAAGGCGCCGTTGCTCTTGGAAATGTCGTCTTTCGTGAGGGTGTCAGCTACCATTCTTGGGTGAGGGGTCCAGCGCAGCAGTGATTTTGATCTCCTCATAGCTTCAATAATGATGGCTATCTCGATGGAGGTTCGTCTGTCTTGGCGAGACGATGGATTCTCCTTCTTGAGGGAGTCAAAGAGGCTCTTGGCGTCTGTGATGCCGCACTGCGTGAGCAAGCCACCTACGTGATGGTTGAGCTCACAGTCCTCACGCAAGAGACCCACATAAGGCAACAAAGATTTGGACCAGTCGCATCTGTTGACATCGCCATGAACGATGTCACGCACCATAATTTGCAACCACTCCATCTCGCCCAAGGCTTGAGAAAAGGCTAAGGCCTCACTGGCAAGGGTAGACGAAACTCGTCTTTTTAACTTGGCTGATCTCCATGACAAGATGGATACCTTTGTCTTGACAGAGGCAGAAGGGACTCGATCGGCCGCCATGATGATCCAGGCTCCTTGGATAGTATCTTGTAATTCTCCAGAGGGCTCTGTAGGCGGTTTGCCATCTACTCCTCCGGCGTCTGAGGCGGCCACGAGGGTCATTCTGTCCTGGTCAAACTTGTGCAAGACAAGAGGTTGGCTGGCAGTCTTGCGTAGATGAGCGATTGTCTTATTGAGACAGGCTACGTCGTGGACTGTGGCACACTTGAGGCGACTAGCCAGTATACTCACAACGCCGGAAGCTTCTGGTCTGGTCTGATGAGCAACCCAGTTGACCTTGTAGAGCATGGAGCGGAAGGCTTCGAACTCATCAGGGGCCAACAAGGATTCTCGGTGAGAAAGTCTCCCCTTGGCTAGAGGAACTGGTTGTATCTTCTCAAGAATATATTTCTCCTGATGCATGATCACCTTGTTCTTGGTGACGCAGACGTGCCTACCTGCAAAGTCAGCTTCATCTGATTCCCATTTGCCAAAGATGAACCTTTTGGTTAGCTCTTCCTTGAGAACTGGGAGATAGGCCTGAGTAGTGGCAATGTTCAAATCGTCAACCTCGATGAGGACCTGAGCAACCACCTGACCATTGACCCTTTTAACCATCCAGCAAGGCTCGAGGAGAGACCTCGTGAACCCAAGATCCTCAAAGAATGCTAGCAAGGTCCGGTGCCATCTCAAGGGACTGTCGTCAAGGCCATAAATGGGAGCTACAATTTCGATGAGGCAACCTTCTGGCACGTCGATGCCTTCGCATGGTCTCGCAAATATTCTTCCCTGTGGTCTGTCCAGCTTATTGGCTTGACAGAAAGCGTTCTTGATGTCCAAGAAACTTACTGACAAGCCCAAATTCAATGACAGTTGGAAGAAGAGAGTGATAGACTCCGTGCTGGGCATAGGAGAGAAAACCTCAAACGTGCCAGAATCAGGGTCCATGTGACCGTGTAGGCACCATCGACTCTTGTACTTGAAGGATCCTACGCCTGGCATAGGTTTCTTCCTTCTGATCATCCTGCTGGTGATCACGCGGTCTGGTTGATCGCGAAGAACTTTGGCTGACTCCTCTTTGGAGAGGATTCTGGCTGCTTTGAGACCTAAGATAGAGGCCCACTCGTCGGCATCAGAACCTTGAAAGCCGAGCATCTCTTCTGGCGTGGCATGTTTCATGTTGAACTCTGAGTTCTTGGTCTTGACAGGCTTGGCCATGAAGTTCTTGTTCTCTGAATCTTCCTTGATGGTAAAAAAGGAAATCAAATCCCTGTTGAAGAGATCGCCGTCGTCTCCATCGCTGTGAGCATGTTCTGATATACGTGTCTGCTCCTGAGACTCCACGGCTGGTGCGGAATCAGCCTCATGGGTTCTATGTGGATTGACGTCTGAAGAGCTTGCCGTGTCTGAAGCCGATGGCCTGGGGGGAGCTGCTGCTTGAGAGGCTTGACGCTGCAGCCTCTCTTCACGGTTCAGTCGTCGCAATTCTTTCAGAGCTGCACGCTCAAGCTGCTCCGTCTCTAGGTCGGAAACACGCTTCTTGACATAGCCGCCCTCGGACGGTGGAGTTTTCTTGATCCTCTTGGGTTCACTGGCTTCAGAGTTGGAGGACGGAGTTGGTTCCATGAGAGGCTCTTCTTGGGTCCTGCTAGACCACTGTCTTGGCAATGCAGGGGAAGGTCTACGAACTTCTGCATGAGGAGGAGGAGTGGCGGGTGCAGGTACCTCAGGAATGATATCTCGCAACAGAGGCTCGGGAGCGGCGGCCTCTTCAGGGATAGGGGGCAACTCGGCCTGTTGCGGAAGATGTGGAGCTTCTAAGGCTGGCACTTCCACATGGTGAGGCTGAGAATGTTGATCCCAAGCTTCTGAAGGAGGAGTGCCCTCGGACTCCACGTCAACGGCGCCAGCTCGTTTGCCCTTGACCTGCTCTAGCACGTCCGACAGCTCCTCGTTGCCAATGAGCTCAGCCCCAAGAGACTCCATGTGATTTGCCGCCCGAAGCTGATCCGAAGAGCACTTCCAAATGCGTGATCTCATGGAGACCCAAACTGAGTGGCCATCTTGGATGATGACCAGGCCTGGTCCAACCCACCGGGATCGAGTCATATGCCCGCTGCCAGTGCCGGGAAACTTGCGGTAGACGTAGACCCACTGGCCTCTAGACCATGTTCTCTGAGGTCTCATCCTCTGCGAAAGGCTCAGCCTGACTTTGTCTTTCAGGTTGGAAGCGACGCAAAGCTCCCGGGCACGTTGTCTGACTTGGTGGGCTCGAGCAAACTCGGCGGCTGGGGTGTCAGCCTCAAATGGGTCCACTGAGGCGTCAGCAAGGCCTGGAACTATCATCTGATCATCTGACAGCAGCTCCAGGGGAACCCTAGGGTTGACCCCAAAGACGAGCTGGTATGGTGAAAAACCGCCACGGTGAAACCACTTATTCTTGTGAGCCACTACGTTGACGGCTAAGGTCTCCAGCTCTTTGCTTGATCGGACGATCTCCTGGCCACTTTGCACTTCTTCTTCAAGACGTTGCTTGACCCAGGCACCATGACGCTCGACCCGGCCATTCTGCCAAGGTGACGCACTGTCTGTCACAGCTTGCAGGATGCCCAGTTGCTCCAAGGACCGCTCGAAGTGACCCTTGAACTCTGAGCCTTGGTCGCACAAGAGAACCTCAGGGAGGCCGAAAGGAGAAATCCACAGCTTGCAGAAGAGCTCCCAGGCGTCCTTAGCATTGGGTGGCCCTCCGACGTAGTTGGGAAGCAGAGCAACTTGCTGTAGGTTGCTTCCTTGGTCCACTACGTTGAGAAAGGCATGCGTCTTGTTGAGGAAGGAGATGTAGAAAAAATCTATGCCCACGATCTTGTTGAAAGAGAACGTCCTGGGAAAAGTTGCCCGCTTTCTCTCGATGGGTTTCCTTTGCCTAGAGCAAATGTCGCACCGGAAGGAATTTTTAACGTATTCTCTGACTTCTTCTTTGGCACCAGCAGCTTTGAGTAAGGTCAACATTTGCTCCACAGGGATATGTCCCATGTTCACATGGAGTTTTGCCACAACTTCTCTTTGCCGGCCGGTGAGCTTGGTGTCTGGCGCCTTGGCCGGAGAGGGTGTCTGTGGGGCTCTCAGAGCGTCTTTGGACTCTTCCATGTCAGGATCTTCATCGCCCCCAACCTCTTGCTCGTCGTCCAAGACATTCTCCATCCCATTGAGAAAGAGGATGAGCTTGTCTTCTTTCCTAAGTTGCCACTTGACGCCTCGGATGATTGCTCTGAGGAGACCCTCCGGGTACGTCTTGGCCTTGTCAGGGAGGCCACTTTGGAGAGGTTGATGCTCATGATCGCCTGCGCATTGTAGAGCGGAGAGCTCATGGATGATGCCGATGTGGTTGGTGATGAAGGCAGTGGCCTTCCGAGAGAGCTTGCCGGGAACCACTGAGAGGCCAGCAGCACATTGGTCGAACTGGACCAGGCAAACCCCAGGCTGCCTAAGAAGCCAAGCAATGGCATGTGTGGCCCAGCTTGAAGCTGAGGCCGGTTGCTCAATCCAAAAGTATCGCCCTTGAGAGATCTGAAACTCAGCCACTTGCACACAAAATTGAAACATGGCCATGCCCTCTACTTTCAGTCGCCTAGCCTCCCCCGGATCCATCCTGTTCCAGTTGGAGTGCATTAGCACACTGAAAGGTTTGCACTCTGGAGACATCGTGACCAAATCAGGTTGCTGAGATCTAAGACAGTTCCAAAAGGC